GTGTGTGTGTGTGTTCATACGTGTGTGATCATACCTGGTGGGAAAACCCCCAGTGCTTTGCACGTGTCCCTCAGAGCTACTCCTCAGGATCCATCCACACTCAAACTCTGCCTCCAAGGGCAATCTCTTTTCCGGTCTATACAGCCTGCCAGTTTCAAGGCTCAGGATCCAGAGTTCAGCAGGGTGGACAGATAAAGCTAGCCTCCTGGTACCCCTGAGGCACCTTTCTTAGTGAACCGGGTGGTGACACAGGGCAGGGAGGATTCCATGACCCACCTTCCCTGGGCTCTTGGCTGCCTGGCTCAAGTGCAGCAGGTGCCTAAGAAGAAGGTACCTTTTCTTCTTCGCCCTCTTAGCCAGGCTAGGACAACTGAGACCAACTTTCCCCCAAAAGCCAAACCGAGAGGGGATTGGAACATTCATTGTGAAAGCAAATTCCCACAGCTCAGCTCAGTAGCCAGCATCTTTAAGATGCTGATGAAGAGAAAGGGTCTTTTTCACAGCTTCTTCCCTCCATCTCAGAGTGACCCAGACCAAAAAGTGCCGTCAGGAGCCTAAAAACTAACAGCAAAATGATCATGAAGGCGGCGATGACTAACGTGCTACATCCCTTGGGGTACAGACAGTCAACAAGCCTGCGTGAAGGACCGTGCTGGGACCCCCATGCTACAGGTGTGGAGACTGAGCCACAGAGGATGTGAGTCACCTGCTCTTGGTAATAGAGCTACTACGTGTAGAATCCAGACTTTCATCTAGGGAGGAGAGGACGATATTCTGCATATCCACAGTCTGCCTAAGGGACAGCTCAGGCCCTCTACAGCATTTACAGTGATTGAAGAGGGCAACGGAACAACCACTCAATTCACCTCTGCAGAGTTTTAAAGGTCACTTGCCAGGGACAACACGTACTCAGAGGCAGAGAAAGAAGGGGCCGGTGTGACACGAAGAGGTAAGTACAGGCTCCAATGTCCCTGCTGGGGCCTGTCCACCACCCTAGAGACAGCTGCTTTACGGTTGACCATGACTGCGAAGTGGCCCCTTTAAAAAGCAAATCCCACAGTAGGGAGTGTGTGTGTGTTACGGTATGAATGCCAAAGAAAGAGACGCATTGTTCATCTAGATGGTGTGTGTGTGTGTGGTGTGTATATACACACATACACAATACTATTTATGTGTGCACAGAAGTGTCATGTATGAAATATATGTACATATAAATAAAATTTTATATGTGGTTCTTTGTTATATATGTCATATACATGATTACATAATATATATCATATGAAAGGGCTTCAAACAGTTAATGGAACAATGAAATTAAAAAATAATGAAATTGTCCTGTGAGCTTTTTGTAGCCCCCTCGTAGGTATATACACATATAGATTTCTTGAACCATCTGAAAATTATAGACACGGTGACACTTCAACCCTAAATACTTCAGTCTTATTTCCTAAGGCATTTTCCTCCATAACCACAAAGTCAGTTTTTGGAAATTTAACAACTACATGATATTCTCTAAGATACAAAAGGGGCTCAATGAAGCGTTCGTGGGGAAATGGAATGAAATGAAATGGAGGTTTCCCACGAACTTCTTAAAGTGCTCTCCTGTCCTCTTGCGTTCCGACCCCCTACTGGAACACAGCGTGTCTTGCACGGAGTCTTTCCGTCCGGGAGCTGATTAGAATTGGGGCGGAGCATTTGGTCACCGCACCTCCTTAAATTCTTTCTCTAGAATGACGTCCTTGCCTGCTTTCTTTCTCATTGTACATTTATAGAGTCCAGAGTGCTGCTATCCTCCATGAACTACATCTGTTGTTTGCTTGCTCCTGGTTAATTTCAGGTTCAATGACAAGAACAGCGTCCAGGTCAACAGATCACCAAATCCTTAACACGTCCACCAGGACCCCGCAAGCTACCTCGCTGGGGAAATGACACGGACATAACACTTCCTGGACATACAGAATCTTCACTTCGCTTCGGGATCTTAAAAACGCCAAACAGTACAGTGTTGACAGACCCCTCCCACGCCACTCAAGACCTCCCATATAAAACAACACATCTGTTTTAAATTCCGATCAACTTTGGGGACCGGTGGCTGTGTTAGTCTGGGTAGACTAGAGAAACAAATCCATGGACAGACAGATGTGTATAAGGAAGAGGTTTACATACAAGAGCAATTGTACATTAAGAAAACATCCTAACCCAGTTCAGTCCAGGGCTATAAGTCTGATATTAGCCCATATGTCCCATAACAATCTATAAAGTCATCTTCAGACTCATGAAAGACACGCAATGAAGCTAAATGCAAGATGATCACAAGCCAGTGGGTAGAAAGTCTTTGGGTCCAGTGGCGTTGCAAGCATCTCAGCGCTGGCAGGGGTCTCCATGTGGCTCCTCCATCTCAGGACACTAGTGTAGCTCCATATGCTTGTCAGCTGCAATGTCTCCCAGTGAGAGAGAGTCTCTCCTGCCTCCCAGGAGGAAATACCAGATTTCCCAGAATTCTCAGGAGAGGGCTATGC